TTAAAGAAAGAACTGGTAAGAATATAACTATTAGTCTTATGGTGGCTGATTAAGAAAGAACTGGTAAGAATATAACTATTAGTCTTATGGTGGCTGATTAAGAAAGAACTGGTAAGAATATAACTATTAGTCTTATGGTGGCTGATTAAGAAAGAACTGGTAAGAATATAACTATTAGTCTTATGGTGGCTGATTAAGAAAGAACTGGTAAGAATATATCATTATTTTTCTTCTCAACACTTGCTTTTTACTAATGATTAAAGAAATCCCTAACACTAGCAATATAATCAAATTATTATGTGAACAATATTGTTAAAGTCAAATACAAAAACTACTCATTGTGTTGCATTTATATATCACCACCAATCTACTCTAGGGTTGTTGGTTGTTAACACTCAAGAACGAATATTCAACTCTTAGAAGCGGAACAAATTAAGGTTATTAACCCTAGAGCAACTACGGTTACTAATCTCACTACTGTAATGAAGATCAAAATTGGTCGGGATTAGTTGGGGCGAAGGTTTGGTTTTATTAAAAAATCGAGCAAAGCTACACGAGGGCTATCTGCGCTAGATGTCCCTAATTAATTAGCAGTGAAAGACTAGAGGGAAGGTAGCTAGTCATCACCACCCACCGCCAACTCTTGAGCTACACTTTTATTAACGAATAGTGGGATTGGCCGTCACGTTATAACGCCCCCACGGCTGAAAGGACGAGCATGTTTGGTGGGACGGGGGTTCGAACCCACGACCAGCAGATTGGGAGTCGAGCGCCCTAATCACTTGGCCCTATTGTTTCATGTTAAACATTTATGAATGCCCGGAAAGAAAAATAGTATTTCGCCATATAAAAACATTGAGAAAAGTAGAAACAATAAGAAAAAACAAATTCGAATGTTATGAGAACTTCCACTGTTCCGTTGTTCTCAAATGCATGTAGAGTAAAATATTCGAAGAAGTTATTTGTCTGGCTATCCAGACGAATAACCTCATATTCGAATTCAATGACGAGGAGCCCACTTTGAGACTAATAATGGTTGGAGACGGCTTGAATGGGCAATGAAAAAAAAAACTTTAATATAAGTTTAACATAACAGCAAATGTACAACGTTTCGAC